TAAAGGTTGTTCTTCCTCCATTGAATTGCTTCTGCAACTTTAACAAAAATCAGTATGTCTGTGTGGACCAATTTCTGAGTTCTCTATTCTGATACACTGTTCTGTATGTCCATACCTCTCCCTATACCATCCAATCTTGGCTACTGGAGTTATGTAGTAGACCTTAATATCAGCTAAAGTGATTCCTTTTGCTTTATTCTTCTTTTTTAGGATTATTTTAGCTCTTCTAAGGCCTGTGAATTTCCATATCACTTTAGAATAAGTTTATTTCTATCTCCCAAAAATGCTTTGCTGACATTTTGAGAGAAACTTCATCAAATCTATAGATCAATTTGGGAAGAATTAGCAACTTTAAGTATGTCAAGTCTTGCAATTTATGAAAATAGTATCTCACCCCACTTATTTAGGTCTTCTTTGATTTCTTTCATCAGCATTTTGTAATTTTCAGCACATATAAACTGCACATGTTTTACTAAGTATAAATTTAATTATTATTTTTATTTGGAATAACTGTAAATAATACCATGTTTTTAATTTTCACATGCTTTTTGTTAGTATACAGAAATGTGATTGACTTTTTCATTTTGGTCATATATCCTGCAACTTTACTGAACTCGCTTATTAGTTCTTAGAGTGTCTTTGTAGATTCCTTGAAATTTATTGACAATCATGTTATCTGAAAATAGAGACCATTTTATGTTTGCCTTTCCCAACTGTGTGCCTTTTATTTGCCTCTTGCAAGGACAATGACTTATTGAACAATGTTGAATAAAAGTGTTGAAAGTAGATATTTTGCCTCAGTCTTGATTTTAGAGGAAAGCAGCCAGTCTTTTGCCATTAAATATGATATTAGCTGTAGGGTTTTTATGGTATGATTTATCAACTTGAGATTATCACTCTCTATTCCTAAATTGTTGTGAGTTTTTACCATGAATATGCATTCAATTTTGTCAAAGACTTTTTTTTGCATCAATTGATAAGGTTATATTTTTTCTTCTTTAGTTTGTTGATATACTGCATTATATACATTGATCTCAAATATTAAACTGTCCTTGAATACCTGGAATAAATTCTACTTGTTTATGGTATATATATTTTTATAAATTGATGGGTCCAAATTGCTGAAATTTTGTGAAGATTATTGCTTCTAATTTCATTAAAGATATTGGCTTGTTGTTTTTGTTTTGTTTTGTTTTTGTATCCTTTAACCAAATATAGCGGCACACACCTATAGTCCCAGCTACTGAGGACACTGAGGCAGAAGGATTGGTTGAGCCCAGGAGTTCGAGGCCAGCCTGGGCAACATAATAATGAGATCCTGTCTCTTTAAGAAAAATGAATCCAAAAGTATTTTCTCCTTTACTATTTTCGGGAAAGAATTGTGTGAAATTGGCATAATTTTCCTTTAAAAATTTGGTTAACTTCAGCAGTAAAATCTTCTGGCCTGGACAGTTCTTTTTTGAAAGCTTCTTAACTACAAATTCAATCTCTTTGGAGATTATAGGACTATTCACATTATTTGTTTCTTCTTTATTGAGTTTCATGGATTTGGTCAATGTCTTCAGATTCGTGATGTTTATTTAGCTAAATTTATTCATAGTATATTATTTTTGAGAGCTGTAGTATCTACAGTGAGATCCTCTGTTACTTTTCCAATATTGGTGATTTTTTTCAGCTTGTGAGAATTTTACCAATTTGAAATTCACAGAACCAAAACTTTTGGTGTCAGGAATCTTCTTTTTGCTCATTTTCTTATTTCATCAATTCATGATTTATCTGCATCATGTCCTTCTTTCTGCTTTCTTTTACTCTGTGTTTCTAATTTCTTGAGCTAGGATTCTAGATTGTTTGAGTCCTTTCTTTCTTTCTTTCTTTCTTTCTTTCTTTCTTTCTTTTCTTTTTTTTTCCTTAAAGACAGGGTCTTGCTGTGTTGCCCATGCTGACCTCAAACACAGTTCTCCTGCCTCACCTCCTTGCAAGTAACTAAGCTTACAGCCAAATACACTGTACATGGCTAGACCTCTTCTTATTTCTAATACAAATATTTAGTGCTAAAAATTTCTTTTTCAGCACTGCTTTAACTGCATCCCTTATATTTTGGTATGTTGTATTTTCATTTTCTTCCTCTTCTATGCATTTTGTGATTTCCTTTAAGACTTACCTTTGACTAATGAATTACTAAGAAATGTGTGGTTTACTTTCCACATGTTTAGAGATTTGTCCTTTCATTGTTGATTTTAAGTTTGATTTCACTGTGGTTTGAACACAGTCTGTATAATTTCATTTTTTAAAACTCTTTGGAATTTGTTTATGACCTAGGATTTGATCTATCTTGGTACCTATTCTTTAGAACATTGACAAAGAATAAAAAAAAACTGTATTCTGCTATTGTTGGGTGGAATATTCCATATCTGCCAATTAGATCCTATAAGTTATTATTTTATTCAAATATTATATAAGCTTGCTGATTTTCTTACCACTAGTCCTATTCCAGCAGTTCTGAGAAGGGGAAGTGATGAAATCCCCAAATATAACTGTGGATTTCTATATTTCTCCTTTCAACTCTACAAGGTTTTGCTTCCTGAGGTGGAAAAAAAAAAAGAATGTTGCCATTTTTTCTCTGATCTCTTTAAAGAGAAAAAAACAGCAACAAAACTGAAATAAACAAAACTCAGAAATGCAAAAGCCAAATGTTTTCTCTCATATGTGGAAGCTAGAGTAAAATAAAGTAAACAGGGAGGGAAGGATAGGATAATAAAAAGGAAAGATCAGTAGCGTAGAAGAAGGAGATGGAGAGAAACAGTAGAGGGATGGGTAAGGGGACAATGCAGAATGATTCTTTAAAAATCATGCCATGCACTGATATATAAATATACCATAGAGAATTTCACGTTTATGCACAGGTAGAAAGAACCCATCAAATATGAATAAATAGACAGCAACAAGCAATATTTTTGAACAATTGGCCTCAAGAAAATAATTTACAAAATTAATTTATCCTGCCTTACTGCACCATAGAAATAACACAGAGACCTTGGCATACTTTCCTTGAGAACAATGGTTATATATCTGTTGGTACCATCTGTTTCCGGGGAAAATAAAAATCATTACATGGTACTACAGGGGGCTCAGGTGACATTTCAGGTTTTCTTGTGTCTCCTTCACAATATGATGTCTCACAACCAGGGTACTAAACTTCCTGGCATGTGTAGGAGTTAAGGGCAGGGTTAAGGGAAAAAATGGACCTTCCATTAAACTTACATTGGACCAAAGTACAGCTAAGTGGGCATTTTAGGCCTTAACATGGTTTCTATATGTGGAAAGATGTGCTGGATGAAAACAGATGATCAGGCACCTTTTGAAACCTTATTAAACAAATAGACTCAATTACACAGATATGCTTTCAAAACAAAAACAAAACCAAAGGCTGAATGTTTTATCTGATAAGTGGATGCTGATCCATAAGGGGGGTGATGGGGGGATGGAGGAAGTTTGGATTGAGCAGAGGGGCAGGGATGTAGAGGGGGAATGGTGGAATGAGATGGACATTATTACCCCTATGTATGGGTATGATTGCACAAATGGTGTGACTCTACATCATGTACAATCAGAGAAATGAACAGTTGTGCTCCATTTGTGTAAAAAAGTTTTCAAAAATGAATTAATAAAAAAATACCTCTCAGTTCCTCAATCAGTAAATATATTGACCAGAGTTTTGTTGATCTGTGCATAAAGTTGTCTTCAGATATTTATCCTGTGAGAAGTTCTAAGTCACTGTGAGTAAGGAATGATAATATGGAATATTTATTTCCCATCATGAGAAATATTTGCAGAATACTTAGTACAAGATAACAGAAGGATAGAATGGTGTCTCTACTAGATGTTTCCAAAGTGCAGCACATCATCACACGCTCTAACTAAAGAAACAGACATTTGCCTGAAACTTGCAACAAAAATGCCATTTTTATAAATTTGGTAACAGTTTTTGTCTTGGGAGTGGGATGAGAGAGTGAGGAGTGGATTGCAGTCTTTATATAATGCTCTGTATGTCTGTGATGTTTGGAAGTTTCAGTAAAGAGTATGTACCACTTTTAAAATTAAGCCATTGTAATAAAAATCAATTAACAAATGATGTCTACATTGTAAATGCTGAGTCAATCTTGTTTAAAAACTAGAAAGGTAATTATTCAAAAAAAAAAACAATTTTAATAAATTCATTACCTGTCCCTATAGGAACAAGTGACTCTGCTAAGTTTGCTCCAGAGATACTTTCCTTTTTCAAATTCCATTCGGTTTTTTTTCTTCTATGACTGACTGTTTAATGAGCCACTTTAGCTGGCCTTTCCCGAGGGTTAACTCACAACTCTTCCTAAATAATCTCAAAGTCATTTTGCTGGCGCAGGTGTTGTTTTTCAGGCAGCTGTTGCCAAAGGGCAGCATAATAATTAACAAGCTTCAGACTCAGAGGATTCAGGGTCTCATTTCTGGCAATGGATATACGTGCTACACACGGTGATGCTTTAGAAAAATCAGTTTTATAAGGAGATTTTGACACTGTAACAAAAGAGCTCAGTTACTCCTAAATATTGACTTCTTGTTCTCTGAGAACAACTCTTAAAAGCTTAAGGATTGTGTCATTCCTTGCACAAAAGGAAGCTTTGTTTTCAGTAGAACTTGCAATTATATTTTAGGGTCTACTCTTCAATTCAGCTATTTCACGTTACTAAATAGCTAACATCAGCTACACTATATATTACAGAGGAGACAGAAACATTATTTGGCATGCATGTTTAGTGTTGAAACTGATTCTTAAATGTTCAGTGTTAGTGACTTGAAAAGGAATATTTTCCCATGATAGTAAATGCAGACAATATGAGGATTCAATTTTCTTCATGTTTAGTTGGTGGATATGGAGGATATGTCCAGAAATAGTCACAGAGATTCCTATTGTGGTTTGCCCCATGGTGCTTCTCTCTGACGTGTCTTATCTGATATTTTAGGAGTTCGTGATGATTGTCGTCTTTGGCTTGGAGTTCATCATTCGAATCTGGTCGGCAGGTTGCTGTTGTCGGTATAGAGGATGGCAAGGAAGACTGAGGTTTGCCCGAAAGCCCTTCTGTGTTATAGGTGAATATGAAAGTCCCAGAGCCTGGATTTATGAACTGCATGCTTGTCTCCTGTATTGTAACATTTGTGTAATATGAAATATTCATACCTGTGGAGTACTTCTACAAACCAGATACTAGTGTTTTAAGTTTTAACTCATTTAATCCTCATCACCACACCGTACAATCGATTTTTCTTTTTTTTTTTTTTTTTGGTACTCGGATTGAACTCAGGGGCACTGAACCACTGAGCCACATCGCCAGCCCTATTTTGTATTTTATTTAGAGACAGAGTCTCACTGAGTAGCTTAGCACCTCACTTTTTTGCTGAAGCTGGCTTTGAACTCGCAATCCTCCTTCCTCAGCATCTAGAACTGCTGGCATTACAGGCATGTGCCACTGCACCAGGCTAGATATTCTTATATCCACATTTTACCAATGAAGAAACAGAGGCAAAAAGAGGCATGGTAAGGTACAGAAAGTCTAACAGGTAGTGAGTGGTTGAACTGGTATTGAAGCCAAGTTATCTTACTCTAGAACACACATTCATATCAAATAAGTTATATTAATAACTTGTATTCAAGGTAGTGTTTCCTTATATTAGACAAGCATTAACTTCAGTAAGTATTTTAAAAATTCAGAGTTTTATTCAACTATAAAGTAAAAGGGAATTACGTCATTTATAAGAATGTATGTGACTTGAGACCATTATGTTAATTGAAATAAGCCAAACTCAGAAGGTCAAGGGTTGAATGTCTTCTCTCATAGGTGGGAGCTACAAAGGAAAAAGGAAAAGAAAGATGGGGGTGGGTATATCTCATGGAAATCAAAGAGAGATCAGTAGAGTAGAAAAAAGGGATAGAGAGGGAGATGGTAAGGGAGGAGGGAAAGCACTGGGGAGCAATATTGGCCAAAATATATCGTTGTATTTTGTGCATGTATAAATATGTAACAACAAATTGCATCATTATGTACAACCATAATGCACGAACAAAAAAATGTAGAAAGACAAAAAAACTATTTCATATCTAAAATAGGGACAACAGATTATGCTCTTGGTAGGCTGGAATGGATACTATTGTATTTTTTCTAATAATGCTTATCAATTAGTACACTTTAAGAAAGATTACAAATATAGTTTACTTTTTGTTTTGATGACTTTTGGCTTAAGTGTCTGGTTCACCCCATTCCACAATTCCCAAATAAATAGCAGATCTCTGCATACCCCTTGCTACTGTCGTTCAGAGAGACTCCATTCTACTGGGTTCTGACTTGAAATTTTACTTCTCTATGAAGACGCACTCTGGAGTTAATGTTTTGCATCTCCCAGGAAGATAATCCAGATATAAAAACATAACAAAATTGAAAACTCTATATATTAAATCTGTTATTATTATTAGACAGCTAAATTTGATTTTCTTGCTCTTCTATCTCTTGTGCTTAGTCAGTCATTCAAACTCAAATGCTAGAAGTTCCTGTGAGGCTTATTACTTCAACTATTTCCAAGCTGAGAATGTGGAGTTTTAGTTTAACCAAGGTAGTATAGACTATCTCATTCACCCACAATAGGTTTTCCACTTTCTTTTAGAGAGGGTGAGTCATCATCTTAGCTTCCTCCTTTACTTGTGTTCCCTGTTGTGGGGACAGAGTGGATTCAAGAAGGAGACTGACACCTCATTCATGAGCACTATTAGAAATAAACCTTTTTATTCCACACTTACTTTACAGTAGGCACACTTTATGAGAATGCAACCATATTTATGAAAATTTGGATTTTAAATAGTGAATATAGTGAAATTCTAAGTAAAATCAATCTTAAAAATACAATGTTTGGCCTTCATTAATGCAGTCTATTTGCTCAGCTATCTCTCATCTGCAAGCAAAAGCTGCACTTCATTTTGGAAGTCATTGTGCTGAGGTAGGAGGAAAGCAGGTGGTAATTTCCAGCCTTGTGGGTCCATCCAGCTCCAAGACATATTGGTGAAGGCATTTGATTTTTCTCCCAGGAGACTTTTTCTCTTTCAAATTCTCCACTCAAGCAATATTATGAAGGACTGCAACTTGATGTAAAACTACCGCACAGCAAGTACTCTCTGACCCAAACAAAACAATTCACAAGGCAGATGGTTAGCCAAGATTCACTCAACTTCTACAGGATAAGGTCGGTTCATGGATGACTGCAGGAATGTTCCATTCCAGATTTTAAAACCAATTAAAAATTGATTTTGTTCCAATTCCAGAGGCAATACCAATGTATTTCTGGCCTACAAGCTAAAAAGAAAGTTCTTTCCCAGATGCCTGCAGCCTTTTGATAGCTGTTTTCAGGGATGGGAATATAAGAACATCATCATCCTTTAATCTTTCTCTTCATGCCTCAGATCCTGCAGGTCTTGTTCTAAAAATGTTATCTGTAATCTTACTTGCTTTTACACCTATCAATAGTGACCTCACAAATCTAGTATGACATTGTTTGGGCATAATTGCAATTTTATTAAGTCTCCAGGCCTTTTCTTCCATTGGGTATTTTATATCAAGTAAATTAATTGCTTTGAAAGAAAATTTCAAGGGTAAATAATGAATTATCATTAAAACAAAGACCAGATATGTACTTACAGTTGGAATAACCATGCCTTTTTCCAAATAGACAAATCAAATGTCACCTGTTTGAAGATAGGAGATTAGACCAGATGACAGTTGAGGCCCTTTCTAGGCTTATTTAGTTGGTCCATAAAAATGCTTGATGAACTGATAGAAATGGTAAAGTGAGCCCTATAGTTCCCTTGTTCAGCCAAATTTATACTAGCAAAATGGGGGAAAAAAAGGAATAGCACATCTCTCTCTCTCATCTGTCTATAATAGCTGTTCTGAGTGGGAGTTTGGAAATGTAGCTAAAACTTCTTAAGATTTCATCTATTTGTAAGATTTGATTACTCTGAACATGCAAAATACACACCCAAATATTTTTAGAATTCTTGAGGATTCAAGAAAAGAACACAGAAAAGACTGTGGTAGGCTGGATGTTATGCGTTCAATGTGGGAAGTGCTTTCTGTAAAGTACGCCAGTGTTATGCCTCCCCACAATAGAGGACCCCTTCTGGACTGCCCACCCTCCTCAACCCTAAACTCTAGCCAAAACAAGAATGTATTTCTAAAATTCATTGACTTTTTAAAAATCATAAAATCATCATATACTTGTTTGGGGGAAACATTTTAAATACCTTTGGCCTAAGGTAAAAGTCTGTTTGATTCTTTTTAATTAGGAATTTTCTTTCATTACTATATTGAATTATTGCTACTTGGTTTGAATTGAAAATTAGGAAAAGCTTATCTAGAATATAAAATTTTTTCCTTCTACATGAATTCAATTTATATAACCCCTCTAGTATTCTTCATAATAACATTTCTACATCTGCAGGCAATGATCACTGCATTACTAATTTAGAGAGTCAAATATATTTTGTAATGGCTGCCTGAACTGCGCTTCACTTACCTGGGCTGGGTGCTTTATGATTTTTCTACATTCAAACACAAGTCATTCACCCCATAACATCAGTATCAAGAATGTACAAATTATCTCAAAAATTGATTTCATAGTCATTGTTTTTTCCATTTTTTTTTTCATTAATGACCTACCCAGAAAAATAGTACCAAAGGCTGATATTTAGACCACAATAATGAGCCTGAGACATCAGAAAGCCAACAAATTACTTTTAACAGTGGCTTTTTTGGGATTCCTTGGTGACTCCTTCTGAAGACAGATATAACAGGGCCATATTTTTTCAGTCTTGCAGTGTGTCTCAGTGAAGCAGAAAATACCAGCCTGTTATTAATCTTGGATCGGTATTTGATGCTAAATGTAAGCTGATTTCTTATTGCTATTTTAAGTTTCCCTTCAGTGTAGTATTTCCACAAGAGGATAAAGTAGGCAAACCACAGCATGATGTCTCCCTAGTGAACTGAGCAAAGATATCTTCAGCTTGAGATAACAGTTCCTCAGAAAGTACCAACAAGTGTATTTTTTAATAGAAACTGTAGCCAGTTTCTAAGTTGACTAAGAATAAATAAAGAAAGAAAGATTTCATTGAAGTCAACCACATTACAGGCTATACTAGTAAATCTATGATTTCATCTTTTTTTTCTTTCTTAATTGTTCTTTTTAGTTAGAACATACAAAAGAATGTATCTTGACATATTATACATACATGGTGTATAGCTTCCCACTCTTTCTTTGGGCGGGGGAGGTTACCAGGGATTGAACTCAGAGGCACTCGACCACTGAGCCACATCCCCATCACTATTTTTGTATTTTAGTTAGAGACAGGATCTCACTGAGTTGCTTAGCACCTCGCTTTTTTCGAAGGCTGGCTTTGAACTTGTGATCCTCCTGTCTCAGCCTCCCAAGCTGCTGGGATTACAGGTGTGCACCACCACACTCAGTTTAGCTTTCCATTCTTGTGGTTATACATGATGTGGAGTTATACTGGTTGTGTATTCATATATGAATATAGGAAATTTATGTCTGATTCATTCTACTGGCTTTACTATTCCCATTCACCCTCCCTTCCTTCTATTTATTCCCCTTTGTCTAATTCAATGAACTTTTATTCTTTCCTCCCCCCTCCACCTTATTGTATGTTAGCATCCACATATCAGAGAGAACATTCAGCCTTTGGTCTTTTGGAATTGGCTTATTTCATTTAGCATGATAGTATCCAGTTCCATCCATTTACCAGCAAATAACATAATTTCGTTCTTCTTTATAGCTAAGTAATATTCCCTTGTGGTGATTTCATTTTATTAAAAGGAGACTTTAGCTGATAATGTGTTCAAAAGTTAGATCAGAGACTCTCAGAATTGCCATTGGCTTATAAACTAAAGATTCAAGACATTGTATTTCCACTTCTCTGCTTTCTCCATCTTCTGTTCTAAGAAACCTGCTCTTGAACTGCACCATTTTCTACATTCTCAAATCACTTTTTACCTTTAGTAAAAACTATATTCTCCAGTCAGATGATAGACCGG